AATCAAACTAGGGATGCCCCGGTTTAGAGAAAAACCCTGAGGTAGCAGAAATGACTAATGAGGTTATATTGAAAACCCCTAATGATACTTCCTGTATTGGTGAACAGAAGGAAGATAGTACTTTAAATGCTTGTATTACAAAAGCTAGCGAGAATCCCATTCCACTGACCCCTGAACACCTAGAGAGGTCTATAACTGATAAAGACCTGATGTACAGAGAGGGTTTAAATTTGATAAATCATGTTAAGAGTGTTTTTGTACTTACACACTCACAAGGGGGGGCATTAATTACCCACTGCAGCAGAATGGATACTGTAGCAAAGGGAATCCTGGAAGGAGAAAGTTTCTTGGATAGTCAGCTTTATAGCTATTCAGAAACTGATCTCATGCTTTTAAAGAACCCTAATTAAAATAGTTTTTCCCAGGAGCAGAAGGAGGACACTAGCTTGATGGGTTGCTTTGAAGCGGCCAGTACCCCCACTTTATTGTCTCCTGAGTGCCCTGAGAGACTTTGCTGGGATAAGGATCTTTTGTATAAAGAGAAGTCCTTAGAAGTGGCAGAGCCAAGCTTGGAAAGTACTCCTGAAAAGGAGAAAAGCTTGTATGAAGCACAGGAAATATCATTCTGTCCTGAGGACAAAGTAGTGGAACTGAGATACTGTATATAGAGGGGAGTAAATTGCTTTTGCCAGGGTTGGAACCTATAGATGTGTTTCACCAGCACTGGAGGGGAGAGTCTAGTAGCTCTGCAGCTGAAGTAGACTGTAAAACCTTGCAAGGCAAATCCCTACCTAGCTTATCAATGAATAAAGAAATAGAATCAGATAAAAAGCTCAGCGCATCTAAAATAAACCTTCAAAGGCAAACCCCCACCTAGCTTATCAATGAATAAAGAACTAGAATCAGATAACAAGCTCAGTGCATCTAAAACAAATCAATCATTTGAGATTGCACTTAAAAGAAACTCACCTGAATATCTTAAAGTGACCTGTGATAGTGGTCCCCCCACAAAGGGAAAATTTTGCAATAAAAGTATCTGTGGGTGAATTTGTGAGTGAGGAGGAAGGTGTAAGCCCTGACATCTTAAAGAAGGACGCATCCAGAGATGTTCAGGAGGAGGAGAGGGAACTGCCTACCCTTTCCCCAGCTGAGAAAGTGAAGCCCCGTGCCAGAAAGAAAGCAGGCTTCACTGGGAAAATGGCAAGCAGAGGATGTCCAGTGGACATCGGAGGGCCCGATGACTGCTAGCTGATCAAAGAGAACATGGAAGAAGGAGCGAGAGATCATCAGAATGGACTATTGAGCGACTGTTTAACTATCTATGTAAAAGGTTCCTGATTATATTATATTTCTGTAAGGTTGAAATGTTAATGTCGTAAGTATAAATGATAAAGTATTTATTTATTTATTTATTTATTTATTTATTTATTTATTTATTTATTTATTTATTTATTTATTTATTTATTTATTTATTTATTTATTTA